TATTTTTACATTTGCAGTATTATGTTTTGAGTGTGTACTGTAGCTAAAAGCAACAATACAAGATCGTTTGTTTCATGGATAACTTGAAGTTAGACAAAAGAAGTGAAGAATACACTCGACGACTTGAATGTAATAAATTCACAAATCTATTTTATTACTTATCATTACAATTAAAGGTAACTTTTTTCGGATTCTGAATGAGTTTAATTTAATATAATGATAATATTGTTTTACAGAGTACAAGGAGATTCACGTAACAACAGCCACCACAGTCAAAGCTTTACCTCGTATATCATTTTCAAAATGTAGAAATAATTTAAAATTCTCATAAGAGACAATCAGAGTTCAACTATAATTCCATATGCAAACTTGAAATGATATGATTTTACTTCTCGAATCATGATCATCATTGTAATGATTAATAGTCTTCCCTCTACCCAGTCATATCTCTCTTACTATCCCCTCTACATGTTTTCTGTCTACTAGCACCTCCCCTTTCGACCAATCTTTAAAATCTCTTACGGCAACACCCCCCCCCCCCTTCATCGTGAACTTTCATTATTGCTTTTATAATTCACATTCCACCATTGAAATGGACACTGACAATAAACTCTAATCACATTGAATTCACGTGTCTGTTTGTTGTTTCCTGTACAATTTTGTCAGCCATATTATTTTATTGATACAAAAAGTCATGTAATAAGTTTCAATGTATGTTACGACGATAATCACCTGGTAATGTATAGATTTATCATAATAATGTATGTAACATAGAAAACGTGTATGTTGCTATTGTATTACGTATTGTAACAGGTGGTCGACTTCGGCAAAGATACATACCACTTTCTCAAGTTAGCTCATTGATGACTGACAGATGATGTCACAAGGGGAATGAGATCTGGAGGTTTTTGGGGTGAAGCTTAGCAAGTTTAAAAAACAAATATTTCAAAAAATATTTAAAAATCTATGAAAAAAATTCAAAAGTTTACATATCAAAATATGAGATGTATTCAGGACTGCACACCAACAGGAATACACTTTTATTTCGATGTCATGGGCCCTTTAAAGCTAAGAATCATTTACATGTACAACGTCATGATCGTTATAGCAACTTTTATATTTCAAATTCTGTTAGATAACGTACTTTTTGTTTGTTTTACGTGGTATTTTATTTCCATCATTAACTGGTGTTACAAATGAATATTTGATAAACATTCAACAAAAATTGATAATTACTATAATTGAAAGCTACATAACATACGACTCATTTGAAAAGTTCAACATCAATGTAGTGTATTTTAAGATTTCAATTCAAATTGACATATTGAATATACATGAGAAAATAAACACGTTGAGCATCCATACACCCATGAATCGGAACCTATTTAAAAGACAGACAAAACCAAACAAACAAATAATCATACACACTTACTCTTTAAAAAAAAACATTAGAGAGAAAGAGAAAGTACAAACAAAATCAAAACAAAAGAAAAGAAAGAGCTTTGTGGCGTCCAATAAACATGTTATGAGCAAAGGCACGCACAGAAAGGTAAACCAAACTAAGAAATACATAATTTGAAAGAGATAAAGACTAACACAAAGTTATGGATATAGTGAAGAAACAAAAATGAACAGCATTCCCGGTGGATACTATGAAAAGGGCTTTTCTCTTTCCAAAATAACAGGAATTCACAATTAAAAGGGAAGTGCACCTGACATCACGTTGATTAAGAAGATCTAAGAAACTGAGGAATAAAAAAAAGAATTAAAAAACAGCAATCGATGCAATTGTAAAGTTTTGAGCCCCCAATATTTGTGCAACTTGTTTTTAAAGTTTTGATGATAATGTACTTGATTTACACACAGGAAGACCTGTAAAAACATGTTTACAATTTCATATTTGGGCCATAGGTATAACAATGAAAATGGCGGGATGATGTTTAATGAAATCTTTACATTGTACATTGTACAAAGCGTACACAGAGTAGCTTTAGAATCGCACATTTTCAGATTGTTCTAAAACTTATAAAGATCAACTAATTGTTCTGCTTTCATTGAAATCACTAATATTCCTTTTAATTTTTAATACAATCATACTATATACTAAGAGAAATGTAAACAAAGACCAATATATACTTTTTTGACACTATGGTTCGATGTTGTATTTATATTTCTGAAAATATTTGTATGTATTATAACTTGCATATTTGTTTGCAAATTATTTTTTCATTGTTTTATATTCTACTCGCAGAAAATCAGCATTTGTTGAATGCGGGCACAATTATTGTAATTTGTTTTTAACCGTGAATAAATAAAATAAAATACCATACCATCCCAATAAACAAAATCACGTGAAAATCACGTCAATATCAAGGTATCGACTTGAGGAGAGTTACGTTCTTCAAACACCGGACATTTACGTAAATGTGTTAATACGTTTATTGCATTAGGTAACTTGAAACACACGTTCACTAAATCACGCAATTGTCACTGCAATATCACCATTATAATAACGTGATTATCCCTTCCTTGGAGACCATGGTTTGTAAACCTAATACTCCCGTGTTTGTTTGGTTATGAAATTACATCTTCATAAACGAAATTATCGCGTCACAGAAACACGTGAAGCGTTAGTGATAGTTTTAGTCAAAATATCTGCGTGAAATTCACGTGAATATTACGAGGCTGACTTGAGATGAATCATGTTCTTCATTCACGTGAAATTTACGTCGAAGAGGAAGTATGTTACTGTAACCCGCGTTCAACCCAATAATTACGCAAATGTTACACAATAAATGAACCAAAATAATGACGTTCTCATCCCGTTTCTGAACATCGTGTCTTGGATCCAAGCGCGCCGGAAGCAGTTTGGGATAAGAGGGGGTTGGGTGGGGGGGGGGGGGTGCAAACATCCCAGAAGAGAAAGCTAGTTGCAACTGGTCCAGTTGATGAACCATTTAATGCCATCTGGTAACCCTGGAAATTGAAATGGGCTAAATGATCCAGTTGATCCAGGCCAGCTATAATTCAACTGGTCTAGCTGAGCCATTAGAACCATTTGGTAAAACTTCCAACCAGTTGAACAGCAACAATACTTCAATACTGGTACGTCTTTATTTCCAATGTAAGGGCATTGGTAATAAGTAGACTTACATAATTGAATTAATCGAAAAAATTTCGTATACTTGTACTTTATTGAAATTATTTTAGTTCACAGTTAATGTTTCCCTTATTCATGTTTAACTATTTATACGAAGTAGCGAAATGTCCTAATAACTGGTAATTTATATTTGTAGTATTTTCGAAATGAATTGCATATAACTAAATCATCAGTAATTAAGAAATATGCTGTCAATTCAGATAAATTGTTTAAAAAACATAGATCTGCACGCACCCCATATTCAATATGCAAATGAATTGGTGTCAGCTGGGTCAACTCGAAATATGCCAACGCTCAGTCATCAACTGGTGCAACTGGAAATATGCACACTCCAGTTATCAACTGGTGCAATGAAAATATGCCAACAGTCAGTTATCAACTGGTGAAAATAGAAATATGCCAACAGTCACGGGATTATCACCACGGAAATTAAATGGTAACTGTGAAACCATCAAGACACCCAAGAATAACTCATGTTCACACATGGAAAACACGGAATACCCAGCTTATATTAATAATCCGTTTGAGTCACGCGATCATCACCGCGGAACTGCTGGCAACTTTGACTACGATTTAAATAGGTGTTTTAAGACACCTAATCATGACTAATTTTTCACACCTAAAAGTCACGTATGCCCAGCTTAGATTAATAATCCGTTTGAGTCACGAGATCATCACCGCGGAACTTATGGCAACTTTGACTTCCATTTAAATAGGTGTTTTAAGACACCTTATAATGACTATTTGTTCACACCTAAAAGTCACGTATGCCCTGCTTAGATTAATATTCCGTTTGAGTCACGAGATCATCACCGCGGAACTTATGGCAACTTTGACTTCCATTTAAATAGGTGTTTTAAGACACCTTATAATGACTATTTGTTCACACCTAAAAGTCACGTATGCCCTGCTTAGATTAATATTCCGTTTGAGTCACGAGATCACCACCGCGGAAGTGCTGGCAACTTTGACTACCATTTAAATAGGTGTTTTAAGACACCTAATAATTACTAATTTTTCACACCTAAATATCACGGATTCACAGCTTAGATTAGTAATCAGTTTTAACTACGTGATCATCACCAAGAAAGTTATGGTATCTTTGGAACCATTTAAATAGGTGTTTTAAGACACCTAATAATGACTAATTTTTTACACCTAAAAGTCACGTATGACCAGCTTAGATCAATAATCCGTTTGAGTCACGAGATCATCACCGCGGAACTTATGGCAACTTTGACTACCATTTAAAAAGGTGTTTTAAAACACTTAATAATTACTAATTTTCACACCTACATATCACGTTTTCACAGCTTAGATTAGTAAACAGCTTGAGCCACGTGATCATAACTAAGAAATTTATGGTAACTTTGAAACCTTTTAAAGAGGTGTGTAAGACACCTCAGAATTACTAGTTGAATATAACCAGAGATTCACGGACAGAACAATAAGACGATTAGCCGGTGTAAGTAACGTGATTATTACCATCAACCTTGGATAACCTGTGAAACCAATCAATAAAGGTGCTTACAAGACCAAATAATTACGTATTTATCGCCACCAACGGTTAACTGACAAAAAACTCGTTGCTTGGTCAAGTGGTTATTTGGTCATAAACACTTGATTTACAGAGGTAAGTGGAATCACGTTACTCCAGTCGCGTGATAAACTGGTGGTTTTTAGGTTAGATGAAAACGTGAACAGAAGTACCTTTTTTGTTTAAATGAAGGCACGTGTCGATAACGTTTAAATCTAGTTCAAAAGGCACTATACTTTAAAATCACTTAAAATACACTCCCAAAAGAGGTTACTTTTTGGTGTTCTGTTTATTGGGATACCAAAGACAAAATAAAATATCTCCAAAAAGTGAATAAATGAATCGGGTATTGACGACAAGTTCCAAATCATTTCTACCATGCATGTACTTTGCCAGACGGTTTACATTATGTAAACATGGAAAACAGAAAACAAGATATCACAACCCATTACGTCAAAACATAAACCCTTATTCTGACATTTGGTTTGACAATTGACATCAACTTTACAACATTTGTATCACACTATCAATAGGTCGACTCTCAGTACTCTTAAACTCTTTCAATCGTACAACTCGAGAAACTGTAAGAAGTAGAAATTATTTTGAAAAAGGGGCAATTCTTCTCATAATTCTGGGTAGAAGATGAAGAAAAGAAAATTAATTGTTTTAAATGGCAATGAATATAGAGTCCATTCCTAGGATTTTTATCTCTGATTGTATAGTCCATAATTGAATTATGTTTACATCATTTACAACAGCTACCTCCCCCCCCCTAATTAAAACAATGTAGAGTCGTCAGTCGTCATTAACAACACAATTTTGAAAGACAAACACGTCAGAAGTATATTAAAAGAAAGGTTACTTTTTTACATTCATTATTTTTTCAATCATTCAAATTCAAATCTACATGATCTAGGAATGTCTTTTCTGAAAACAGTCACGAAAACTACAATTCACCTAGTAACAAATATAAATGATTCCACTAGATGTTATTTACACTTCATGAAGTCACAGAAACAAAAGGCCTATTGGAAGCTACTGAGCAAAAAGGGGGCGGGCATAGATCCGTTTTCAACGAAATATTATGGTACTTTATTTTTTTTTATTATGCCCGGTTTTACCTTTAAATATCCGGTCGCTCACATCGCACCCCCTTCTCCTCTATGGGCCTGAAGACAGTGATATCATACAGTGCAAGTAAAGATGAGTCATCCATTAATTTCAGTAGAATATATATAGTCTATCAGGAGTGCAGAAAGCGATCTCTCCTGATCGGTACTGTTGGAGAGTGTACCACAACCCTCTCTCATTCGTCTCGACTTTGTAATCAGTGACGAGGTTCTGGACATGCTTCAGCTCGTTAGTGTACTCATCAATACTGACCAAACTTTCGTCGTCCTTCACGGTGGCTATCAGGATTGTATTCCCTTGAGACACAGCAGCGGTTAGGTAAACCCCTGATTTTGTTAATTGATATTTTACAACACCTTGCTTGTCAATCAATCGTATTGTATCAAAAGATTCAGTGATCAGGTAATCATTATAATTAGTAAACTGCACAGGTATATAACCATCACATGGTATCTCCCTGATCGCCTTCCCACCTGCTGGTGAGAATACCTGGATCTTTTCAGCTACACTGTAGCTAATTACGTAGATCTGGTCATCATCGTCTACAGCGAGGCTAGACAATTCACCTTCATCGTGACTCAGAGTCTCAAACATTACATTCAACTTTGTGTACTCTGGTGTGTACAGTGTGATATTGTTTGAGCGATTAAGTACAACATACCGATCATCCGAGAGGAACCCTAATCCAACGATCTTAGCATCCTTGAGAACTGTTTGCTGGTGCTGACCATCAGCACAGAAGATCTCCACGCCACCTGTACCACACCCCACTGCCATCCTACCGTCTGGTGTACCAACCATGTCATTCATGCTATCCTTCGTTGGCAAAGCGATGTTCTTTGCAACTGCATTTACGATCTTACCAAGACCTAGCTCGTCCATTCCAACGTTCCTCTTGAAACTGACACTTTTTCCTTTCTTGCTCGATTGAATCGACTGCTTGTAGTCAGGATCTTCTTGTTTCAAGGCCTCTTGTAAGTCTTGACATAGAGTGTCGTGTGCAGCCAAAGCATCCATATCTAACGGTATCTTTGTCTTATTGGTTACAACGTCAGCTATGGTGGTCAAGTAAGTGATGTGCTCCTGGGCCGATTTTTTCATTTCGTCTAGCTCTTTCTCTACTCCTTCGGTCATACCGTTGACTTCACCAATGAGTATTTCTTTTTCCTTTGTCAACTGCCGGACTGAGTCTTCATATGCTTTGTTGATATCATCTGTACACTGCTTCTGAACATTGCTCACACGGTCCTTCTGTTCATCAATGAAATCAACGTACTTCTGAAAGCAAGAGCGTTTCTTGTCCGCCTTGGATTTGAGGTCCTCGATACTCTTCACATGGCTGCTTTCATAAACAGCTGCCTCGATGACCCGATGTCCTTCATTTGTATGCTCCATGACCACACACCTGAAGCAGGCAAATCTCCTGCAGTCGGAACAGAAGCACTCCTCATCCTCTTTGGGGTGTTTTCTGCATTTACGGTATCTACGTACAGACACCTTTCCTGATACGATCTCACTCATTGCTAAAACCTCATGGCTGATGAATACTGGCCACTGAGAGTGTGTTTTGTGGCAAGTGATACAGAAATATCTGCCACAGTCTTGACAGTAGACAACAGCTTCGGGCCTGTCCTCGGATTTACAATTCGAGCAAAACTGATATTGATTCTTCATGTCCTCTATGAGAGACTTCAAAGCCAGATTTGCCGGTAATTTGCTGACTTCTTGGTTTGGGACCTGGGTTTCAGCTCTGCAAACAGGGCATCGAAGCATCTGGTCGTTACCATTGCATCCCAAGAGGTTGTCCAGACAGGCCTTGCAGTAGGTATGAGAACAAGACAGGATCTTGGGATCGGTGAAGGTATTCAGACATACAGGACACTCCAGACTCTGAGCAATTACATTCTTTAATGTATCAGCCATGATTCGAATTCTACAGGAATACAAAATGAAAGAAAAGGAAGAAAAAAGTGTAGCTTTGATTAATTTGACCGTATTAAAGAGGAGTGTAAATCATTTTCCTCACGCCTTTTCCCTCCAAAATATAATGCGTACAACATATGATTTCCGTTACATTTTAATTTAATCTTGATTTAATCTTGATTTCATCAAATGAATATAGTAGTGAAAATGAATTTAAAAATCAAACTGTTTCCTTTGTCACTTTTCAGATAATGTACATTATAATGAGGGGGGATGAAGATGATAATAATACTAATGCTAATAATAACAATAATGTTGATGATGATAATAATAATGATAATAATAATTATATCAACAAAAATAATAATAATCATTATAATTACAATGATGCCTTGTTTTCCTATATCCTCATCAGTACACACACTGTTTTCCCCGAGGGCCCTGCAATCTTATTACTTCCCCGTCTTTAGCTAACCTATCATTTAAGCATTCACGGAATTTCTTCCTACCGGGTAACCATTCACTATACACTAATGGGATGGGTGGAGAGTGGCCAATGTAGAGTAGTGTCTTGTCATTAGTACCGTGGTGGGTCTCGAACCGCGAGCCACGTGATTCACAAACAAGCAACCTATCCACTAGTCTACATCACGACACCTCTACATGTATCGCAACTAATCATGCTACTAGAAATTTCGTGAACATCTGAAGTATATATACAAATCATTATAATAATCCACCACTTGAAGTCCATGGTTATAGGTAAACCGTGGAAAACAAAACAAACATTATAAACTTAAGTCTCAGAATCTTAGTTTACCATTAACAATTCGTCACTTTGGCATTAGAAAAATAATAATTACATTATTTCTTAATTAATATAAAACCAAGTACATGTATGAGTAACATATGACCTTTGAACGAAAACAAATATGATACGTTGATGACGTATCAAAAGCAGTATAAACATGTACTTATGCACACTGGAATATACTATTTTAAAAAAAATCATCATTTTGTAAAGAGGATTTTATATTGACTGCTTTGGTTAGGCAGAATCATTAGCTGAAATGTTAGCATACTAACATGAATATTTACCATGTGCATTCATATCTATTTGTAATTAAAAAATCCCTGCAACTTACCAAAATATGCGTTTTCCACCGGACAAACGAACAGTGAGAAGTTATCCTTGGTTTGTCTTGGCCTTAGCTCAATCGCTCTCCATTTATCACCTCAAAGATATCTAGACTGAGACCCACCTAATTCAGCCAAAGGAAAATGACGATTTTAGGAATCAGTAAACATGTATTGCAATATAATGGTTCACTGTTCATAAGTGGTGCTACATACATGACAGATATGTATTCAGTCTCTCGGTCTATTTTTAGTGACTGGGAATTCCCAGCAACCTTTGACATACAAGCAGATTGAGATTGCTATCGTCCAAAAAGTGTTCGCCCAATAAAAACTCGATCTCATTTTTTCGAGCGTCTGTCGAGCAAATATATACCAGTGCAAAATATATTACTGTTACCCCCTCCCCCTTCCCCCACCATTACAAAAGATTCTAAATTTCGAATAAAATTACTGTTGCTAAAGTCTCGTGGAGCGGTCCTCCATCGAGATTACAGTTAGAATGTTGGAGATGGCGCTAAACATGCTAAACACATCCGGAATGTAGAAAAGTAAAGAAGATGTTCAATCTTAAATAGACCCTTTATTTTTATTGCACTAATCATCGTCTGGTTGAGAGAGCTAAGAAGTAGTTCAATTAATTATAGTTTGGAGTTGTTTAGGGGCTATTTTGACTAAAACCATAGGCCTACATGACATGGGGCTGAGGGGGCTGTAGCACCCCCTCCCCTACAAGTTTTAAAATGTCAAATAACGTATTTGGGCACGTGCAACCACCACTCGATTCTGACAGGTGCGTAATATTCAAATACCTTTAGTATCCTATTTATCTTATTTTTTGTCCTCATGCAAAAAAAAAGAAATACTGTAATTCAGTTCAATTCAATGCAAAGTAACATTAATTTACTTTCATGCTTTCATTAGTTTTCATATCAACAAAATACTCATTTGAGTATATGTACATAATGTACATAATGATAATAGCAATTTTAAGAGTATGTTCAGTTTTAGTATAGCCTTGATTCATTTGTTCGTATTAAAGAAGAGTGTTTATCATTTTCCTAATATGCCTTCCCCTTCATTATTATAACCCGTACGAAATATGCTATTCTGTTATATCTTGATAAGATATATATATATATATATATATACACATGTATTTGACAATAAAATGGCAAGATTGGTACTATAACACTGTGTGACTATACTTCCTTGAATCTGGAATTGATTTTCGAGCTAGACTTTTACCTTCCCCACCCCTAACCGCCCATCGACAAAACCTATGCTTACTGTGTGTAATCCCCAAAATACTCTTATATCTGGCATAATAAATGCATGCATTTTAGGTGCGGCTTTAGGGATTGTCGGTCTTGAATTTGTACTCCATGTTTAGAGGCCATAGAGTTCAGTTTCTCCAACATGTTTCATTTCTTGCTTTTAAAAATGAAATTATTACTAAGGTTGGATTGCCCTTTCTTGCACAAAGGCTCTTTCAAAATGTGCGATATATGAAATTGATGTAAATATCAGAAAGAAATTATTTATTTGGTAAGCAAAATAAAAGTATTTACAATACCTCTTGAAAGTTTGGGTGGCTAGCGTATTGCTGTGTATTGTCTTATATCCAGAAAACAGACAAATGATCTACATGCATGTAGTAAGGAAAAAGGTGTAAAATAACGACTCGATCACAATAGACATTATATCTGCATAAAAAAAACGGAGTACATTTCATATAGCAAAATGTTAAAGATTTGTGAGGTCGCAGTGTGAAAAACTACATCTTATAAACAAGGGGACAAAACACAATTCTGATGGGGTTCTAAGCACAATCTAACTATAGATATTTAATAAGAAACCTAATTAAATCAACTTTAATTGCAAGTGAGCGTATAGCGACCAAGCCTTGGGCGAAATTAATGAAAAAATTGCTCTTATTTTGCTAGAAATTATGAGCACATTTTATGGTGAAAGGAAAAAGAGGCACATATCCAAAGGGAAAATGGCACTTAGTAGAAAATAAAAAGAGTACGTGTCAAAGTTTATCGAAAGGAAAATGGCACTAATTAGGAAGGATAAGAGGGTCGCGGGTCAAAATAACAGGGGCACTTATCAGAGATGAAAAGGGCGTTTATTACAAAGTTAAAGGGTGCATCTCTCAAATTTGAAATAAAAATCAATTCTGATGGGGTTTTAAGCACAATCTAACCACGAAAGACTGAAAAGATATTTAATAAGAAACATAATTACATCAACTTTAAATGCGAGTGAGCGTAGCAGCCGAGATTTAAATTATGAGCACATTTTATGGTGAAAGGAAAAAGAGGCACATTTCCAAAGGGAAAATGACATTTATTAGAAAAGAAACGGAGCACGCGTCAAAGTAAAACAAAAAAGGGAATTATCAGAAGGAAAATGGCACAAATTATGAAGCATAAGGGAGCCGCGTGTCAAAATAACAGGGGCACTTATCAGAAATGGAAGCGGGCACTTAATACAAAGTTAAAGGGGGCATCTCTCAAATTTGACTCAGGGCACTCACTAAAGATGAAAAGGGGCACTTATAAGAATAAAAAGAGGCACTTGTCAAAAATATAAGGGACCCCTCTCAGATTTGAAAAGGGACAATTATAAGAAGTGAATAGGCACGTATCAGAAATGGTAAGGAGCACTTATTGTACCTGAAAAGGGCTCTCACCTGAGATGAATAGGGCACTTGTGAGAAAAGAAAGAGGCACTTAATATAACAAAGGAATATTGGCTTTTGTCGTAGGAAAAGGGGCACCTTTGCGATTTCAATAGAGGAATTTATCGGAAGTGTGAATAGGAGCATTTATAAGAAAGGGAGATGGCTCTTTACAAGATATAAGAGACAAAGAGGGCATTTATAGGAAAAAGGGGGCACTTATAAGAAAGAAAAAACAGGGGGCACGTATCAAAATAAAAGGAGGCACATACAGAGATGAGAAGGGGTACTCATTAAAAATAAAAAGAGGCACTTATAACAAGAGAAAAGGACACCTGTTAAAGTAATATGGGCACCTCTCAGATTTGAATAGGGCAAATATCTGAGTAATAGGGGCACCCCCATGTAAAAACAGGCACTCTTAGATGTTTGTAAATCACTGGTATCAAAAAATAAACCACGTTTGAATGTATTATCAGTACGCCAGTGCTCCTCCTGCTTGCACGGACGAAACAAAACACCAGGCCAGCTTTTCACGAAACCGTCACAAGTACGAATACAAGTTCACCGAAATCCCGTTGAAACGCGTGTATCGTAATTAACATGCGTTTCAAGGAGCATCAGTGAACTTGTACTTTTGACGGTTTAGTTAACCCGATGCCCAGACCAAAAGGAAACCGAACAAGAAATGGCATTTATACAGAAAATGGAAAAGAAATGGTCGATTTGGAAAGTTCTGTGAGGTTGTTTTGGAGTTGGTTCGGCGGTGTGACTGCAGTATCATGGTCTAATGGAGTCCGCTCGCTATTCATAAGGGCCGCTATCCATAAGGACCGCTAGTCATAATCGAAAAAGACGGTCGCTATTCATAATACAAAATATGGGTTGTTATTCATATGGGTCCCTATTGATAATACGAGAAGAGGCACAAATTCATAATATGAGAAGTATTATAAGTATACGAATATGCAATAGCGACCCTCATCTCACACTATGAATAGCGGTCCTTATGAATAACGGTCCTTACGCCTTTATGAAAATTGACCCCCTTTCCTTTTTCTGAATAGCGATCGTTTACGTATAGGAAGCTCCATGTTATGAATAGCGGTCCTTATGAATAACGGTCCTTACGCCTTTATGAATAGTGACCCCCTTTCCTTTTTCTGAATAGCGATCGTTTACGTATAGGAAGTACCATGTTATGAATAGCGGTCCTTATGAATAACGGTCCTTACGCCTTTATGAATAGTGACCCCTTTCCTTTTTCTGAATAGCGATCGTTTACGTATAGAAAGTTCCATGTTATGAATAGCGGTCCTTATGAATAACGGTCCTTACGCCTTTATGAATAGCGACCCCCTTTCCTTTTTCTGAATAGCGATCGTTTACGTATAGGAAGTTCCATGTTATGAATAGCGGTCCTTATGAATAACGGTCCTTACGCCTTTATGAATAGCGACCCCCTTTCCTTTTTCTGAATAGCGATCGTTTACGTATAGGAAATTCCATGTTATGAATAGCGGTCCTTATGACTAGTGAGGCTACCCCGGTCTCATATGGGGGCGATATAATGAATAGACAACATTGAAGCATATGGCGTCCAGGTCCACTCTTTTTAACGGAATTGAGGTGAAGGAGTTTATTATTGACAATAAAAACAAAACCACCTGCCAGTTACCCATGTCCACTGCTTAATAATAATCAAAATGTTAAAATACAGCAGTCAGCATTGCATAATTATCTCTGTGTATAGCTATTTCAGCCCCCCCTCCATTCTTCAGATGCTTAAAGTTAAGAATCAAATACATGTACAACGTCATGATGGTTATAGCAACTTTTATATTTCAAATTCTGATAGATTACGTTGTTTTTTGTTTTTTTACGTGGTATTTTATTTCCATCATTCACAGGTGTTACAAATAAATATCTGATAAGCATTCAACAAAGATTGATAATTACATACTATTATTGAAAGCTACATAACATACGACTCATTTGAAACATTCAACATCATTATAGTGTATTTTAATGTTTCAATTCAAATTGACATATTGAATATACATGAACAAATATACGTCTTGAGCATCTAACACCCATGAATTGAAACCTATGTAAAAGACAGACAAAACAAACAAACAAATAATCATACATAGAGAGAAAGTACAAACACAATCCAAACAAAAGAAAATAAAGAGCTTTGTGGCGTCCAATAAACATGTTATGAGCAAAGGCACGCACGGAAAGGTAAACAAGGTCAAAGAAATACATAATTTGAAAGAGACAAAGACTAACACCAAGTTATGGATATAGTGAAGAAACAAAAACGAACAACATTCCCGGTGGCTACTAGGTACATGAATAGGGCTTTTCTCTTTCCAAAATAACAGGAATTCACAATTATACAAAGGGAAGTCCACCTGACATCACCTTGATGTAGAAAATCTAAGAAAAGGCGGAATAAAAAATAAACTAAAAAAAAATAGCAATCGATGCAATTGTAAAGTTTTGAGCCCCCAATATTTTGCCAACTCTAACTGCAATCACCTCTCCATTTGTTTTGTATGGGAAACGTCCCCAGTTTTGATGATAATGTACTTGATTTAGGCCTATACACATGCAGGAGGGCCTGTAAGAACATGTTTACAACTTCATAATTGGGCCATAGGTATGACAATGAAAATGGCGAGATGATGTTTA